TTGACAGTCATTCAAGTTATAGCGATCCAAACTAGCTAACGATGTGGGAAAACAACCTCAACGAAATTCAAAAGGGTGAAATAACAGTACCTTTACCCTCCGCAGTAGTTGATTGGGAGTATTATAATAACATAATCAATAATCAATACTCATCAAGGCATGGTGACTGACAGTTGTGTGAGCTGACAAACAATTAAAATAAAAAATACACACTTAGTCATTGTGCTTTGGAGTTTATTCAAAATTATAAATGAATGTGCTGCTTGAATACATTAACTGGCACATTTGGTATTCTGTCAACACAGGCTTTGATTCTGAGTAACATACAGTAGCGAACAGCCAAACACATGCTGATAGAGTTTATAGAATATTACGAATTTAAACAAATGTACACAGGAAGATTCGTCGTCTTTTGTGGCAGGATCGCTCTGATTTCGTTTTCGGCTTATGTTCAAAACAATCCCGTTTAAGCCACTGAATTAGTTTAGTCCGGTTATACATACAACCGCGAACAGCACATGTTGTCCCTGAGCTCCGTAACGACATCTCTCATAAAGATTTGCGTCTTTAAATAGTAAAATAATTCTCCGAAAAAAAGCTAGCCTCTTCGCTAACTAACACACAAAATACCATTGGAATGTCACTTCCGTCGCCTCACCGGAAGTTTCACCCACTTTATTTTTTACAGGAGCGCCCCTCGGAAACTTGTGGATACACAATTCGAGTGCCTTGGAGTATTACTTTGATTATGAATAAGTAGCTGTCTGGAACATGGAAAACGATATTTAAAGGGATCGTTCACCCAAAAATGAAAGTTCTGTCAGTATTTACTCACCCTCATGTTGTTCCAACCCCGTAAGACCTTCGTTCATCTTCGGAACACAAATTAAGATATTTAAGATATTAAGATCGCTCCTGCATACTAGTCCATAGGCTTCTTGAGGGATTGAAACTTGCCAGCCCCGAAAAGTTATTAAAGACATCGTTAAAATAGTCCAAGTGACTACAGTGGCTCAATCTTAACTTTATCAAGTGACGAGAATACTTTTTGTGCGCAAAAACAAACAAAAATAACGACTCACTTGGACTATTTTAACAATGTCTTTAATAACTTTTCAAGGCCGGCAAGTTTCAATCCCTCAAGAAGCCTATGGATATGCAGGAGTGATCCAGCTCTCAGATTTCATCAAAAATATCTTAATTCGTGTTCCGAAGATGAACGAAGGTCTTACAGGGTTGGAACAACATGAGGGTGAGTAAATACTAACAGAACTTTCATTTTTGGGTGAACTAACCCTTTAAGTCCTAAGTTTACTTTTAGCTGCAAGATCAGCTCATGTCTAGCACTTCCTTGAAGGTACTTGTACTTGCCCTGTAGTCAATAATTTTATCCCTTAAAACTCCTCTTTGATCACCAAAATGACATATTGAAAAGTTTTTTCCTTGAAAAAAAAAATCTTCATGTATCTCAACACCCTTGCCTCGTTTAGTATACACGGTTCTATGATTATGCAAATTAGCCCCGCCTCCACTCACTCACTCCAGCTCAGAGATCCACTCATTCCCGTTTTATGTTTATGTGTTTATAACTACATAAAAATTAGGCTATTAAATATAAGCACAGATATACAGATTTTTTTATTTGACATATCGTAAGTATTATTAGGTATTAAAGTTAGAGACAGATTAGTCTTCTATGTTGCGACATCCGAGTGAAACTTATTTAGGATTATGGAAAAATAATAAGATGTAAGGACTCGGTTCTATTGTTGATTGGATTGTGAGATGTGGGCGTTAAAAGAGGCAGGGTTTAAACAGATTAAACAATTGGATAAATCCTGCATAGAGAGCAGTCTGTCGCTTTCACCAAAAGATTGAGTTATGGCACATTTTGATTAAACATTATGAGGTAAAAAAAAAAAAATACAAGCTAAACTTGAATCGTTCACAGTGAGATCAATTACTGCATTTAGAATATAGATATGGTAAATCTTCATTTCATGCTGCCTTTGTGAAGACATTCATTTGTTTCACACATTTAAAAACTTTTCACTTAAAATTCTTTCATTCTGAAAAACACGATTCATGGTCATTTACTGCACTTACCTGATGTGGAGGGAAGCGCATGGAAATTTGAAATGATATCTGTAAAACACGAATGTGCTATTAATATCAATCACTCAGCTCAAAAATGGATGCAGTACATGCTGAAAGAAAAGTCCCTCACCTGCGCCGACATGTCATCATACGGTAATCTCTCCCTATCCGACGCTGGGCATAATGAGGGCGATCTGGCGGGAGGCCTGCCAGGTGTGTCCGAGTCACAGACGGGCAGAGAGGGACAGGACGGACTGGGACACACTTTTTTTGGTGCAGCAGGTGACGCGGGGGTCAGCATGATTTGGGGGGCTGCTTTATTCCTCTCTCTCTTTGTCTCTATTCTGGAGGGCTGGAGGCCTGGCAATGAGCCAAGTGTCACACGTTGATCATCCAGTCGTCCTCTTTGAAAGTTGGCCAGTAGATTGCAAAGGTCCTCCGCATCTTCCGCTGTATGCAACAAGCCAGTAGAACAGTGTGAAAATCACAGTAATTCGGCCATTAATAATCATTATTATCCGAGCCGACTTCAGTGAGGCCTACCTGTGGGATTAGCGTTCGGGGTATTTGGAGAGGGGGAAGGTTTTTTAAAGGGATCAAATGAGCACCGCTGGTCATCCATTCGCCGATGCTGGGAATTATACACCAGGGAAAAAAACTGGTCCTGATCGATACAATTTTGTACCTGATTCAGAGAAAAGGAAACAATACATGAATCAATGTATATTTATGATTTTCAGAGGCATTCCCAGCAGACAGTCGTGTGTTTATTAGTCAAAGCGTTTCAGTCTTCTGTTTATTCAAATACAGATAGTATGATGCCCTTAGTAGGGATTTCCTGGACAGGTGTTCCTTAAGCCTAGTTCACACTACATGATTGTAAAACGTCGGGCTGAACTGTGCGGTTCACGCTACATGACTTGCTCTCAGTGAAATCTGGAGTGTTTAAGTTGTTGAGCTGTTCACACCACACGACACAAACGTGATTGATCCGCAACAGGAGGTAACGCACCACACGAGTTGACAACTCGTCACCTGACGATTCTATCTCGTCTACAAACCACGTTTTGTCACGAAAAATCACGCGATAAATGACCCGGAAATGACACGAAACTTTTGCAGCGCCAATACCCAGCGAAGAACACAACACGCAAATATGGACGAATATCAGACAGAAACTAGTGCTGCAAACACTTTGATTTGCTTTGATAAAAAAATGCAAAAAAAGGAAAAAAAAAAAGATTTACCTGGTGGCCTTGCTCTGATTGGCTGTAGCACATGACATCACGTGAGGTTGAGTCGAGCGACTGCGACAGCTCTGGATATCTAGTATGCTAGATATTTTTCTGGGCTCGGCGACACGTCTGTGAGGCGTCTGCGAGTGTCTTTGATGCGTTCTTGGCTCTTTCATACTAACAGATTGGCGAGCGTTCATCGCCCGCTAATCCCTCGAGATTTGCACGCAAGAACACCTTGACCTGTCGTGAGCTCAACGATTTGCAAATCGGGCTTAAAATCATGTAGTGTGAACTAGGCGTTATTTGGCGTGTCTGCGTTCGACGCCCTCTGGTGTTCAGATGAAGCAGCGTTTACTACAGATGAGCCCCATTGCACTGGCTTGCAGTCTTTGCGATTAATTGTGCAGCCCGTTTTCACAAATTCACATTTTTGTAGTTTACACAGAAACTATAACATTATAGTTTTAAAAAGTTTGCATTTTCACGCACCCAAAACGTTATTGTCGTGTAAATGAACTGCCAAAACGCTAAATCCCAAAAAGTTTTCAGTTTTTATTTGGAAAACTGAAAGGTTTGCTACACTTTTGCAATTGTTCACACAAAAGGGGCCATTTACACGACAACACTGTTTTCAACTAAAAAACTGAAAGTTTTTCATGCATTTTGGTCGTTCATTTACATGACAGCAGTGTTTTGGGGGGCTGAAAATGCAAACTTCTGAAAGCGGGTTTCAAAGAACAAGTTTTTGTTAAGTCATCGTCTCTGTATAAACTACAAAAGTGCGAATTTGTAATAAAACGGTGACATCATGCTTATTACATGTTCAGTCAATTGGCGACATCGCCAACTACTGGCCTGGCATGAATAATACAGCGTTTTAGTCGTTTTAATGGACCTGTGTGAACGGGGATCGTTTTGACTAATCGAAGTTGTCGTCTGTACGGGAAAATCTTCAAAAACCAAAAGGAAAAACGTTACTGTTTTTAGTACATCATTGGCGTTTAAACGTACCCTAAATATTGTGCAAACTAATCTGAGAGCTACAAGTCATTACAAAGGCAAGTAAACAACAACAAAATATATCAACTTCATAGCATTGGAAATATAGGCGTTCAAATACTTATTTGCCTCTGGATCATACGAATAAATACATGAACCTACGATGACACTTCCAGACCCCTCCATGATTTCTAAGTGGGAGAACTTGCAAAATAGCAGGGTGTTCAAATAATTATTTTCCTCACTGTATATCAATCACCTCAGAGGAAGGACTGAATGATCCTGATCTCCTGGGAGGGTTAGTCGGGGATACAGGTTGAGAATAAGACTTCCTTGGGGGGGCAGGAGACCCCAGTTGGATTTTGGGAGCAGAGCAGCTCTGATCATCCATCCGAGAGCCCTGCCAGAGAGAAAATAATACAAGCGTGCCTTGCTATCACAGAGTGCTTTTAAATTAATGATATTCGGCCCAGGTTTCTACCTCTGTGCATGTGCCAGTTATGGAAACAGGAGAGCGTTAGTAAATGTTGATTGAGATCGTAAAATAAGCCCTTTTTTTGCTGGCCTATATTTGTGCTCTTGCCCTTATTAGAGCCGTGCATGGTCTAACAAATGTATCTCAAAGGGGTCGTTTCATCACATTTTCCATGATTTTTAATGCACTAAGAAAATATACTATAACTTTTTATTATAGTTAACAATACATGTATCTATTTAACAACAAATTAAGCTGCATAAATAATGACAAATAAATACATTAACATGGACTATACTTCAGAAAATATTCTGAATTTTCAGTATCATTACTCCAGTCTTCAGTGTCACATGATCCTTCAGAAATTATTCCCATATACTGATTTGATGCTCAAGAAACATTTGTGATTTTTCAGGATTCTTTGATGAATAGACAGTTCAAAATAACAAGTATTTGAAATAGACATTTTTTTGTAACATTATAAATGTCTTTACTGACACTTTTAATCCACTAATGCATGCTTGCTGAATAAAAGCATTCATTTCGTTCAGACTTGGCATTACACACCTGTATTCTGGAGACCATGTTGAAGAGTTGATCTGATTCCTCAGCTGTCATCCCAGAAGGTGTTTGTTTTCCTGACAACGGCTTAAGTGTCACCCGCTGGTCATCGAACCGTCGATTTTGGGTGTTAGAAATGAGTTTAAAGAAATTCTCCACATCTTGATCTGTTTAGGTGGTGTATACAAACATGCACTTAGTAAAGAAACTTCTCTGATTGGTTTGCTTTATAATGCATTTGTTGAATTATTCACTTTATTATTACAGACTGACCTGACTGGCTGTTATCCATATGTCTGGGTGAAGGCGATAAGGGGTTAATGGAGCAGCGCTGATCATCCATACGTCCACGTTGTGCTTGACTAACTAGACACAACATCTGGTCCTGCTCACCCTGATGGATTAAGAACAAGAATAACAGGCTTTTGTACTTTGTAAGTAGGAAGTTTTGAGAGATCTGTACAGTATCTGAGGCCACTGTAAATATACACTCACCTAAAGGATTATTAGGAACACCATACTAATACTGTGTTTGACCCCCTTTCGCCTTAATTCTACGTGGCATTGATTCAACAAGGTGCTGAAAGTATTCTTTAGAAATGTTGGCCCATATTGATAGGATAGCATCTTGCAGTTGAGGTTTGTGGGATGCACATCCAGATCACGAAGCTCCCGTTCCACCACATCCCAAAGATGCTCTATTGGGTTGAGATCTGGTGACTGTGGGGGCCATTTTAGTGCAGTCAACTCACTGTCATGTTCAAGAAACCAATTTGAAATGATTCGAGCTTTGTGACATGGTGCATTATCCTGCTGGAAGTAGCCATCAGAGGATGGGGACATGGTGGCCATAAAGGGATGGACATGGTCAGAAACAATCCTCAGGTAGGCCGTGACATTTAAACGATGCCCAATTGGCACTAAGGGGCCTAAAGTGTGCCAAGAAAACATCCCCCACACCATTACACCACCACCACCAGCCTGCACAGTGGTAACAAGGCATGATGGATCATGTTCTCATTCTGTTTACGCCAAATTCTGACTCTACCATCTGAATGTCTCAACAGAAATCGAGACTCATCAGACCAGGCAACATTTTTCCAGTCTTCAACTGTCCAATTTTGGACAATTGCCTCTTTTTCCTATTTGTAGTGGAGATGAGTGGTACCCGGTGGGGTCTTCTGCTGTTGTAGCCCATCCGCCTCAAGGTTGTGCGTGTTGTGGCTTCACGAATGCTTTGCTGCATACCTCGGTTGTAACGAGTGGTTATTTCAGTCAAAGTTGCTCTTCTATCAGCTTGAATCAGTCGGCCCATTCTCCTCTGACCTCTAGCATCAACAAGGCATTTTCGCCCACAGGACTGCCCCATACTGGATGTTTTTCCCTTTTCACACCATTCTTTGTAAACCCTAGAAATGGTTGTGCGTGAAAATCCCAGTAACTGAGCAGATTGTGAAATACTCAGACACCAACAACCATGCCATGCTCAAAATGTCTTAAATCATCTTTCTTTCTCATTCTGACATTCAGTTTGGAGTTCAGGAGATTGTCTTGACCAGGACCACACCCCTAAACGCATTGAAGCAACTGCCATGTGATTGGTTGATTAGATAATTGCATTAATGAAAAATTGAAAAGGTGTTCCTAATAATCCTTTAAGTGAGTGTATGTCATTCATACTCACTTGAAAACGTTCCATTCTGTCCTTGTCTGATATGGGGTTGAATGAGGCTGATCTGGTTGTGAGCGTGTTGTAAGTGTCTGAATCAGCAGGAGTCTGGGGATTGTAGCTCGCTCTTCTCACAGAGTCCGGGGCTTCGGGGGAAAGGGTGTTTTTGGGAGGGATCTGTTTCCTGAAACTCTACATTGCAGGTTAAGAAATTTGAAATTTGGTTAAGGTTAGGTTTATGGGTAAGTTCAGGGCTAGAACTTGTTGAAAGTAGTTGTTATCTACTATAATAAGAATGCAGAACAAGGCTATAAAATAAAATGCTACTAAATTTCTAATATAAATACAAAAAATTCTGAAATTGCTAGTAAATTTCACAATTACTAAGAAATGGCAAATACTATTTGAAATAAAAAAAACTAAACGTAAAGTAAAATGTATTTTCTTGTAAAACATGCTCCAAATAAACTTTGTTTTACTAATAGGATGTCCTCCAAAGTTCACTGGAAAACTCACATGAGCTCTGCTGACCATGTTGCAAAACTGATCAAAGTTTGTCTTCAGTGCATTTCTGTCTTTCGGATCTCTCATGGTGAATGCCTCCATCCCTGGCAGTGAACTAAGCGTCACTCGTTGGTCATCTAATCGTTGGCTCTGACTCTTGACCAGGTACTGAAAAAAGTCATCGCCATCTGCCGAAGTGTTGTACAAAGAGACATGAACACAGTACAGAAAAAACCTGTGCTTTTTCATGCACTGTTCAATTTTAAAAAAAAATTGCATTCTCTCGCAAAACTTTTGTTTTCTCGTGCAAAGATTTGCGTTCATTCGCAAACTTTTGTGAGTTTGGAAAAACACTTTCTGATTAATATACTGCTGGCAGTCGTTCAGCACTATGGAGAACCTAAAGGGACACGGTGAAGGAAAAAATATGAGACGGGATGAAAAATTCTTTGTTAATGCTTTTGCGTTCTCTCGTGAATGTTATGCGTTTCGCAGAGAAACTTTCCGTTCGCTCGCAAACTTTTGCATTCTCTCGCAAAGATATTTGCATTTGTTCGCAAACTTTTCCATTCACTTGCAAACTTTTGCATTCGCTCGCAAAGATATTTTCATTTGTTCGCAAACTTTTCCATTCACTCGCAAACTTTTCCATTTGCTCGCAAAGATATGTGCATTTGTTCGCAAACTTTTCCATTCACTGGCAAACTTAGGCATTCGTTCGCAAATATATTTACATTTGTTCGCAAACTTTTCCATTCACTCGCAAAGATATATGCATTTGTTCGCAAACTTTTCCATTCGCTCACAAAGATATTTGCATTTGTTCGCAAACTTTTCCATTCACTCGCAAACTTTTCGCTCGCAAAGATATGTGCATTTGTTCGCAAACTTTTCCATTCACAGGCAAACTTTTGCATTCGTTCGCAAAGATATTTACATTTGTTCTGAAACTTTTTCATTCACTGGCAAACTTTTGCATTCGTTCGCAAAGATATTTGCATTTGTTCGCAAACTTTTCCATTCGCTCGCAAAGATATTTGCATTTGTTCGCAAACTTTTCCATTCACTCGCAAACTTTTCCATTCGTTCGCAAAGATATTTACATTTGTTCGCAAACTTTTTCATTCACTGGCAAACTTTTGCATTCGTTCGCAAAGATATTTACATTTGTTCGCAAACTTTTCCATTCGCTCGCAAAGATATGTGCATTTGTTCGCAAACTTTTCCATTCACAGGCAAACTTTTGCATTCGTTTGCAAAGATATTTACATTTGTTCGCAAACTTTTTCATTCACTGGCAAACTTTTGCATTCGTTCGCAAAGATATTTGCATTTGTTCGCAAACTTTTCCATTCGCTCGCAAAGATATTTGCATTTGTTCGCAAACTTTTCCATTCACTCGCAAACTTTTCCATTCGCTCGCAAAGATATGTGCATTTGTTCGCAAACTTTTCCATTCACTTGCAAACTTTTCCATTCGCTCGCAAAGATATTTGCATTTGTTCGCAAACTTTTCCATTCACTTGCAAACTTTTGCATTCGCTCGCAAAGATATTTGCATTTGTTCGCAAACTTTTCCATTCACTGGCAAACTTAGGCATTCGTTCGCAAATATATTTACATTTGTTCGCAAACTTTTGCATTCGCTCGCAAAGATATTTGCATTTGTTCGCAAACTTTTGCATTCGCTCGCAAAGATATTTTCATTTGTTCGCAAACTTTTTCATTCACTGGCAAACTTTTGCATTCGTTCGCAAAGATATTTACATTTGTTCGCAAACTTTTTCATTCACTGGCAAACTTTTGCATTCGTTCGCAAAGATATTTACATTTGTTCGCAAACTTTTTCATTCGCTCGCAAAGATATTTGCATTTGTTCGCAAACTTTTCCATTCGCTCGCAAAGATATGTGCATTTGTTCGCAAACTTTTCCATTCACAGGCAAACTTTTGCATTCGTTTGCAAAGATATTTACATTTGTTCGCAAACTTTTTCATTCACTGGCAAACTTTTGCATTCGTTCGCAAAGATATTTGCATTTGTTCGCAAACTTTTCCATTCGCTCGCAAAGATATTTGCATTTGTTCGCAAACTTTTCCATTCACTCGCAAACTTTTCCATTCGCTCGCAAAGATATGTGCATTTGTTCGCAAACTTTTCCATTCACTTGCAAACTTTTCCATTCGCTCGCAAAGATATTTGCATTTGTTCGCAAACTTTTCCATTCACTTGCAAACTTTTGCATTCGCTCGCAAAGATATTTGCATTTGTTCGCAAACTTTTCCATTCACTGGCAAACTTAGGCATTCGTTCGCAAATATATTTACATTTGTTCGCAAACTTTTGCATTCGCTCGCAAAGATATTTGCATTTGTTCGCAAACTTTTCCATTCACTTGCAAACTTTTGCATTCGCTCGCAAAGATATTTTCATTTGTTCGCAAACTTTTTCATTCACTGGCAAACTTTTGCATTCGTTCGCAAAGATATTTACATTTGTTCGCAAACTTTTTCATTCACTGGCAAACTTTTGCATTCGTTCGCAAAGATATTTACATTTGTTCGCAAACTTTTTCATTCGCTCGCAAAGATATTTGCATTTGTTCGCAAACTTTTCCATTCGCTCGCAAAGATATTTGCATTTGTTCGCAAACTTTTCCATTCACTTGCAAACTTTTGCATTCGCTCGCAAAGATATTTACATTTGTTCGCAAACTTTTTCATTCGCTCGCAAAGATATTTGCATTTGTTCGCAAACTTTTCCATTCACAGGCAAACTTTTGCATTCGTTTGCAAAGATATTTACATTTGTTCGCAAACTTTTTCATTCACTGGCAAACTTTTGCATTCGTTCGCAAAGATATTTGCATTTGTTCGCAAACTTTTCCATTCACTCGCAAACTTTTCCATTCGCTCGCAAAGATATGTGCATTTGTTCGCAAACTTTTCCATTCACTTGCAAACTTTTCCATTCGCTCGCAAAGATATTTGCACTTGTTCGCAAACTTTTCCATTCACTCGCAAACTTTTGCATTCGCTCGCAGAGATATTTGCATTTGTTCGCAAACTTTTCCATTCACTGGCAAACTTTTGCATTTGTTCGCAAAGATATTTACATTTGTTCGCAAACTTTTTCATTCACTCGCAAACTTTTGCATTCGCTGGCTAAGATATTTGCATTCGTTTGTAAACGTTTTCCTCACTTGCAAAGGTATTTGCATTTGCTCGCAAAGATATTTGCCTTCCTTTCGCAAACATTTCCATTCACTCGAAAACTTTTGCATTCGCTCGCAAATAAATTTGCGTTAATTCGTAAACTTTTTCACTCACTCGCAAAGGTATTTGCATTTACAATTTTCCCTCCACCATGTCACTTTAAGGGCTCTGTAAGAGGCTCCGTAAAAAAGAGATATCACAATCCCCTCTGTAAAAACCAATGACTCTAATATGTCAACAAAAAGAAATTTGAACCAAGGTTTATCCAATGTTCATATTTCTGATACGGAAATGTATGTGAATTAGTTCATATTTATTCAAAAATGCCTCATTTCCATCTAGTGCTGTCAAATCGATTAATCGTGATTAATTGCATCTAACAAGAAAGTTTTTGTTTATGTGTGTAAATATATATATATATATATACAAACACACACATGATATAAACAAACTTTTATGTTAGAATTGATTAATCGTGAATAATAGATTTGACAGCATTTTAGAAAACATGAAATACAAAAGCATTTGTCTTAATGTACTGTGACTAATCAACTATGTAAATAGAGTGATGCCCATTTAAAAAAAAAAATTACCATTACCAAAATGACAAAGACATCTGACCTGGGCTGTTGGGATGAAGTTGTTGAGGTTTAGTTGAACCCAATGTGCATCGCTGTTCATCTAATCTTCCACGCTGAGCGTTACAAACGAGGGAAAACAACTGATCCTGTTCCCCTGAAACTGACTGCCAAGACCAAACATTTCAATCAATTTGAACATTCTTAACAGGTTGCAGTAAACATACACTGTTAATATTGTTTCACATCAATGAAGTAATAATAAAATATAGCAGAAAAGTTTAGGGTCAAAAGTTTAGAAATGTAAAAACAATACCTCCATTTTGTCCTCCACAGACGTCATCTCCTACAATGTTCATCTGTATATTCTTCTTAATAAGATACAAATATCAATGCATACTTCTTTAGAACAAGTATTAAAATCTCAGTCATAGTGCAATCTACTTGCGTACAAACTTGCGAGCAAGCTTCTCTCTCCAGCCTGAAGTAAAGCTCGACCAGGATGGATGGATGGAGTGCTTTTAGAAGGTCTTAAGCTTTGAATATAAACCGGCACCCATTAGGAAACCTAGATGGGGGCAGTCTTTAATCCCAGATAAAAACAGTTAATCCTCTCTATCATGCAGCGATGATCTTTTATCATGGGGGACAATTATTGGAGCAGTGACATCAGTATCAACAGACTTCCTGATACCATCAGTCTGTGTTTAGTTTGGTAACTCTATAGAAACGATTAATGGACTTCTAAAAACCAGCAGACAATACACAAACATTGGATTATTCTGTTCAGGATCAAATTCAAGGATTTTCAACCAAGAGTGGAGCAACAGGAAGTTTAGCTGCAAATATGTACAAAAATAGGATGTGAAACTCTTTAAGCAGCACTATGTAGCTTTTTCAACCTAGTACTTTTCCAAAACACTTGAGATGGTACATCGACTTACAATAGGTTGAATGACAGGTCTGCCATTGCTTGACAGTGTCTGTATCGCTTTTACTGGCACTCTGTAACTTCGGGGAGCGGGTAGGAACCATAGACTGTAAAAAATATGAAGAAAGCGTCTGTGACGTCACCCATAGACTTTCTGAAGAACGGGTTTGAGGCTGTTTATGGGGGGTATGGGCGGCGCCATACTGGAAAATCTTGGGAAATACAAAATACAAATGTTCAAAAAGGATACAGAGGCGGTATGATGTGTTGTGTCAGATCATGGCCGAGACGTCAAATTCCTCTCGGCGCAGCCCGTTATCAGCTGTCAATCAAAGTTAACCGCCCTTATTTGCCATACATTTTATATCTAAATACGATCTAAACTAACGAGTAAGAAAAAATTCACCCCCCTCACAGTTGTCAGGAACGCGGAACATATTGAAGATTACAATAAAAGTCCATGGGACCAAACTGTAAAAACATGCTGTGAAAACAGACATTTTAACATGGGGTAACATTTGCTCCCTTTTGGGACCTTCCTCTAGCGGATTTTAGATGTATTGCAGTTTTTCGCACTTCCGGGTAGGCTTCATGTTTCAGATTAGAATGCTGACGCTTGGTAGGAACCCGAGCACAAAAAGAACTACAAAATTCGACTGCTTTACGGCATACATCACTTCCCCCACTTCCTCAAATTCTGACGCGATAGCCCAACAAGCGTTTTTTTTTAACCTCTGAATGTTGTCATGGCTGATGCAGCGAGTAAAACCAAATGTGAAGTGCGTCAGAAACAGAGCGTGCGCGGCCGTGCGCGATCAGTTTACTGTTGGAAATGTAACTTCGCACCTCGCTGCATCCAGTGTAGACTGCATTGCTTCCTTTTGAGGGCGCTTAACACACTGTCGATTTTTGCTGCCTTGTCGAAAAATGCTAGCCTGGTTCAACCAGACTCTAGTTCATTTCATTTCCACTGAAGTAAAATGAAATTGAGCGGAAGTGCGTAGGAGGGTGCAGCCAGGCTAGAAAAATGCTACCGTAGCGCGAATTGATCACAGAATGTGGATTAAAGTCGTATGAAATACAATAATACAATTCTAAGTTATGAGTAGCTACTGTATACTGTAGACTACTGTTTTTATTTTTTAAACGGTGTGAAAAGTAAAAATTATCATAAAATATGACTTGTCAAAGTACACCTTTCCTCATACTGAAACTTTCTGTTATTCTTTTTCAGCTGGCTGACCGTACAAATAGAATATGGTAGTAAGCATTTTAAAGGGAAATTATACATTATAACAGGAAAATGTACTTTTTGTAAAAAAAAAAAAATATAGACGGACACAATAATTGGTCAGGATAACTATCCTATGTCTGCAGGCTGATAGTCATGTTTGTTATTTATTTTTCTGGTGAAAGTGTCTTGCCTCAGGTTATAATGCAAATCGATTATTTAAATTTGCAGATTCATCTATGGTAGCTGATATTATAATATTGACGATATGGCTATATCTACCACACAAACATTCAATTGAATTAGCATAACCATTTTATAAAACAGTAGCTAGTCTACTATAACGACGCTGGCTTTTGACGTTTGAAAAAAATAAAGCCCATGAAACTATATTCAAGACATGCTGAAATGCCAATGTACCTGGGATGAAGACATTTCACTCGCAACGCTGGAGTCTGCCCAAGATGTGAGAACTCCTTCCTTCTGCAGAGTTCGGGGGTATCGCCTGTCAAGTTAAACAAATGCACGTGTGTATTTCCATGACAGATGTTACGACAGTAGTAGAAGTCAATACTGTTTCCCAACTGTAGGGGGACCCCGAGAGCAAAATTTCAAAAGTAACATAATTCTGCTTTAACCACAAATGAATTACTATTATTTAACAAATCAACAGTGAAATTAAACACTTAACTTTCAATGAAAATACAAATTGCAGCTTCAGGAAGTCAAACTATTAGCCGTGTGCATTATTGACTTATTTTTACCATGCTATCAGATTTTGGATTGTAGAAGAATTGGATGCAGTAAAAGAAAGTTCAACTCTATTACTTCAGCAATAAAAAAAAAAGAAAAAAAAAAGAAACCCAACTGTGACGTAAATCTGAAGTCATTTTCGCTTATTGGTGTGGTTGAATCAGATCATCGAATGTCAGCATCAAAGGCATTGGTTAATAAAGTGAGATTAAATACATACTTGTGTTATTAACTATTGCACGCTTGTGTAATATTCCGAGTTTGCATTTCACTGTTATATTCATCTTGAGCAATACTGAATCCGTTTGTGTGTTAGTGATATGAGTAAATGCTCACATTAGCCTAGATTCTAGGCTGAAAAAGTAAATTTACTAATGCAGCACTAGTTAGTTGAAAAAAAGTAATCAATTTGAGTTAGCCCAACACTGCTCAAGCATCTCTTTCTAGAATGAGTTATACGCAAACTTTATTTAGAACTGTTAACAAATAGACAACAGACACAAAGAGCCAGTGAACCACATCCACCGATATGTGATAACGTAACAATAAACGAAAAAAGTGCACAAGTTCAGAGCATGAAAAACAAAAAGACACCTATACTGAGATAAAACATTTCATGCCTTCACCAAAACAAGGGCAGAAAATACAACAAAACCTGACTGGAAATCAGAAATGGACAACTGCCTGTACCATAAGCAGGCTTATCTTGCAAACTCTCCTTTTCCACATTGTGCAGCTTTACAGTAGCAGTGAGGCAGTAAGTAAAGTCAGGTGGTACAGCATGTCCAAAGAAGTCTTCAAATCACATCAGAACTCGATACGACTGATATTCAAAGGGCGCGAGGCACGATTTAATCCGCACATTTCTAAGCTATTTCACATATATAATCTCATAGATATATCTCTTTTCTTTTAAATTAAGCATCAGTCATCAACAGCATGAATATATATACACATACATATACCACCAGTTCAGCTTGGGTAATTAAAATGACAACTTTAAAAGCAAATAGGCTAGATCTAAAGGTCTTTTGACGAGAATCCTAACTTCAGAGTATCAGGTTTCACAGAGTGGGATGAACCTCTTCGGGGATGTACAGCTAAACGGCTGCAGGCTTCTCCAAATCCTTCAGGTCGTTCAGAAAGCTGGTTGGAGTAATAATGTGAGATGATCCTGCAGAAGAAAAGCATATTTGACATTTTAGACAACATTGAAGACAATGGCATCCTCAACCCTGCTCTTGGAGACCCACTGACTGTCCCAGAGAGTTTAGCTCCTCCAACCCTCATCAAATCGGACTAAAAATCGGATAAATCCTGTGCAGGACAGTGGGTCTCCAGGAAGAGGGTTGAAGACCTCGGTCATTTGCAGAAGTCCATCTTCTCTTACCAATCAGAACCTCCCACTTGCCCTCGGTGGCCCGGGTCACTTCATAAGCACAGCGCATCTCAGAATGGGTCACGCCGCCAATCACAAAGATGATGAGGCGAGGGCCGCTGCGGTACTCTGTGGCAGACTTGTTCTTGTGCCAGTGTCCAAACCGTGCGCTGCTGGAGTAGGGTTCAAGAGTAACGTCAGAATTTGATTTGACGTCGAGGTGAAAGACGTCTCGCGATATCAGTCGAGTTTGAGGCAAAACCTTTAACACAGTGCTCATATTATGTTGTTTCGTCTCATATTCAGAGAGTAGGACTGAAGTAGCAATTGTTACAAGATAAGGCTGCCATGATTAACCGTTTAAATGATGGATCGCTTGCTTAAAGCTACACTGTGTAACTCTTTTAGTTTATTTTTAGCTAAAAACACTTAGTTCTTTCAAAAATATATGTGGCGGGTGAGGAGTTCTAATGTCGATCGCCATGTTGACCCTCCATCTTGAAAGTACGTTAGCCAAAGAGGGACATACCTGTTAATTCAAGCTTCGCCTTTCGCGTTTACGTTTGAGTTAACACTCATTCACAAGGTCGAACTGGAAGCCATGTTAATCTTGGACTACATTGGCCACCGTAGGAGTTAAAACGAAATAGGAATTGAGAGGAACTAAAATCTAATATTCACTGGATGGTCATATACCTTTTTACCTCTAGATGGGGGTAAAAATCACACAGTGTAGCTTTAAAAAATGACCAGTCGTTTAACCAGCAAAGCTAATTTACAGCAGCACTGATTTGATTTCTGCAAAATACACACACAGGCCAACATGAACAATACACAACTTTTGCCTATAACACATGACCAATCTGCTAGTTCTGGGTGGCATACCGGCTCATACCGAAAACCGGTGTATATTTTTGTTATGATATAAATTTTTAATATACCGCCATACCGACGTATGTCATTCGCTGCGGCGCGCAACACTGTTTCAGACGGACCCTTTACAATGTTGCACTTCTAAGCAGCGACTGCGAGGCCGAGGGTATAGAGTGCCGAAGTTACGACGTCACTCTGTAGGCCAAAACGCGGAAGTGAGTTAGCATTTTAGCACTACCGGTTCCCTCGCTCGGTATTTTTGTATCGGTTTTTGCTAAATTGCCTAAAATAAGGTCTGTGGTGAACAAAACCTCTAAATACTTTCACGTTTTGATCTGACATAAAACACACAGTTATAACTTGCTTGTGGTTTTTTAAACTTTATTGTGTCTGGTTGTGTTTTTAAAAACTTAATATATGCTTCAAAATGTATACATTTTGGATTAACTTGTAGAGATTATCTTGATAGACAAAACGTTTAAGGGTCACAACGCTTTGTTAAACACAGATCTTATTTTTTGTGATTTTCCAAAAGTTGATGGGGAAAATGCATAGCTTTTCAATCGAGGGAACCCATGCGCCGCTAGCTTCCGAGTAAGGATGCACGATATATCGGCCACATTATCGGTATCGGCCAATAAATGATAATTTTTAATTAATTTTTAATAGCCGATATCTAAAAGCCGATAACTAATGTATTATTTCCTTCAGCTGAGGCACTTTAGATGTGCACTGTTCAACATGATGCT